TTGTAGAAACAAAAAGGAAGAGGGCCTGGCAACGAAGTAAAAACAAGATAATCAAAAACAGCACTCTAACTACAAACATGCACCTCTGGGAAAGACAAAAGATAACCTGACACAGACAAGTGCGGGAACTGAGGCTTAAATACAGGTGGAGGTGATTGCAAACTAAACTCAGCTGTGGGGAGAAACGAAGGGTGAGAAACTAGATACAGGAAGTGCAGTGGTTACAAAAATAAAAACAGGAAGTTAATTTTCACTGTCTCTTCGAGTCGTCACAAGATTGTCAATCAGAGAGGTTGAAGAAACCTACCCTCAACCCTTCTGAAACAACTACAGATCGGTCTCTCTTCTTCCCTTTTTGTCCAAAACTCTTGAACGTGCAATCTTTAACCAACTCTCCTCCTATCTCCACCGTAACAACCTCCTTGACCCCCACAAGTCAGGCTTCAAGGCAGGCCATTCCACAGAGACTGCTCTCCTCGCTGTCTCAGAGCAACTCCACACTGCTAGAGCCGCCTCTCTCTCCCCTCTATCCTCATCCTTCTGGACCTCTCTGCTCCATTTGACACATTCAACCACCAGATCCTTATCTCCTCCCTTCAGGAACTTGGTGTCTCAGGCTCTGCTCTCTCCCTTCTCTCGTCCTACCTCGACTGGGTAACCTGGCGAGGATTTGTTTCGGAACCTTGTCCTTTTACTACTGGAGTTCCTCAGGGTTTCAGGGAAAAGATTCTACAACTCAGGTCTTGAGAGTTGACTTTGGCAACTCTGTGTTTACGCCCACTTTGACTGCTAGGAACCTCGGCGTGACACTCGACAGCCAACTCTCGCTGACTCACTGCGACAACACAATCATGTAGATACACGCTCTACAACATCAGGAGAATACGTCCCTTTCTAACTCAGAAGGCAGCGCAGGTACTGATTCAGGCTCTTGTCATCTCCCGCCTGGACTACTGCAACTCCCTCCTGGCAGGTCTCCTTGCTACCGCCACTTATCTATAGCAAATTGTAAATTGGCTTATTTGATGAAATTGCACTTTCCTGTTTCTTGCTCTTCTGAGTGCACTATGGTTGAATGCACTGATGTAAGTTGCTTTGGATAAAAGCGTCAGCTAAATGACATGTAATGTAATATAATGTTGGACCTAAAAGCTTTCACAAAGCTTTTCAGTTTTTTAAACAGACAAAAACGGTACAGTTCATCGGAAAATCAGCATAGACTTACTATAAATTCAATTGAAAGGGTGACAATTGGTTGTGTGTACTTTACATTACATTGCATGTCATTTAGCTGACATTTAGCTGACGATGGAATTCTGTGTAAAAGCAAAACAAGTCACCAAGGCCACCATTGTGGGAAATGGAACTCAAGAAAAACTTTTTGCTACATTTGTAATCGTGTCATTTAAATAAATGCAAGTGATATTTGTCTCCCGGTGGGTCAGTGCCAGTGATCAGCAATTGTAGGTGGCCGGCACCAGCTGCCAGTTGACCCCTGGTCCTGCCACCTGCAAGGCCTCACGTAACCGGTCTCGGATCACGGCCTCCACTACGAGTCCAGTTGCAGAGAGGTCCGGAAGCGGTCAAAAGGAAAACACACAATGGAGTCCTGATCTACTCCCACCCTAGGGCCCAAAGCCTGCTCATGCTTATTACACCCACACAAAGCAAGATGTGCTTCCCTGCTCAATCTCATGGACCAGGACCTGAGCACGCCGTGGACGCACAAAGGAATGGTAAAACTCACCCTCGGGCAGCTAACGGTGGACAAAACAAATGATTTTCACACATAATTAGGTCATTTTCAAGCCGGGATGGGCCAAGTCCCTCTGATGGGAAAGCCTACGTCTCGTCCTTTGAAGCAAAGCACAACGATTATGAGATGGAGGTTGTGATGATAACCAATGCACATGGTTTGATTGAATGTTATTTTATTCGCTTCTGTGTGTGTCGTTTTGTATTCAAAGCTCAATTCTTCCATTGTGAAGGGAGAGAGTAAATGTGCGCTTGCATTGGTTAGGAGAAATGTGTGAATGGATGGGAAAATGTGGCTTGTCATTGTTTGTGTTTAGACGGGACGATGCCTGGTTGCCTGACTCACTACTTACTGCGCTGCCAGTCACGTCAACGCTCTTTCTACCGTGTTTGATTTGGATTACGTCCCCTCAAACAACGACTATATTTGTTGGCTGAACTGCCAGCCTGTACTGCTGAGGCTACAGGCAGGGTGCTAGTCTTCACACCTCATGTACAGTAAGTAATCCCTCTGCCTCTTTTCCCGGCAACACCAACATCAAGTATGGAAAATTCTGTGAGTAACACCACAGCGTCTACCAAGCTACAGGAAACGTCCATACATGGTCCGATAAAGGCATCGCATATCTAAAACACATTATCAGAAATAATATTTCGGTTTCATTCCACCGCTTGATCTAGAAGTACGGCATTTGGGGCAAATAATTTGTCAAAACCTGCAACTTAATTGATGCACTCATCAAAACGTAAAATTTAAACCACAGGCCGAGAACTTCATGACTTAATCTCAGAATTAATCAACATCCCCCCAAAAAGCTACTCTAAAAAACATGTAAAGCAATAATGTCCCTGCCTGACAAAACATGATACATCAATAACATGGGAATTAGATATAGTCCATTACTCCTGGTGCCAACTTCTGTAAACAAATTTGCAATTGTACTCCAGGAGTAAAAATGCCAAAACTAGTATAATTGTAACTATTATTAACAAAAATTTAGAGTATAATCTGCTCCACAGACATTACCTTGGGAAAAAACCTCTAGACTGGCAATACCGTTAGACATCTGATCACAATTGTACACAAAATAATCTATGCTCACGCTACTTTGCACAGCGCATCAGTTTTGGAAGGAAATCACCAAGTCACATTCCATTATCAACTTCACTGTACTCACTAAGATACATATCAATAGATCAGCACACAACAAACAGTCATTTACTCCTCAAAGTTCTAACTATTTTTAAGAAAATTATCTTTATGAACTGGAAACAATGAATACCACGCATTTCACATATGGAAGAACTCAGTGATACATCACATTTCAATGAAATATTTAGCCTCCTATATGCACTACGTCACTCAATTTTGGTCATAATTTATTACATTACATATCATTTAGCTGACGCTTTTATCCAAAGCGACTTAAAATAAGTACATTCAACCAACCATACAAACTCAGAAGAGCAAGAAGAAGTGCAATTTCATCAAATAAGACAATTTACAATTTGCTATAGATAAGTGGCATTATAAGTACAATTTAAGTGCTACAATTTGTTAGTGTTTTAGTCAAGGTAGAGTCTGAAGAGGTGTGTCTTTTGTTTGCGGCAGAAGATGTGAAGGCTCTCTGCGGTCCTGGTGTCTTCAGAGAGCTCGTGCCACCATTTAGGAGCAAGGACAGCAAAGAGTTGTGATCTAGTCGAGTGTTTTGCTCTCAGTGAGGAAGGGACGAGCAGTTTTGCAGATGGGCAGATGGTAGGGTATGACCATGTCCTGGATGTAAGCTGGACCCGATGAGCACCAATGTTTTGAACTGGATGCGGGCAGCCACCGGTAGCCAGTGAAGAGAGCGGAGGAGTGGAGTAGTGTGGGAGAATTTAGGAAGGTTAAAGACCAGTCGAGCTGCTGCATTCTGGAGGAGCTGCAGAGGTCGAATGGCGGTAGCAAGGAGACCTGCCAGGAGGGAGTTGCAGTAGTCCAGGCGGGAGATGACAAGAGCCTGAATCAGTACCTGAGCAGCCTTCTGAGTGAGAAGAGGACGTATTCTCCTGATGTTGTAGAGCGTGTAGCTACAGGGTCGTGTTGTTGCAGTGAGTCAGGGAGATTTGCTTGTCGAGTGTCACGCCAAGGTTCCTAGCAGTCAAAGTGGGTGTTAACACAGAATCTTTTCCGGGAAAGAGAAGTAGTTCTGTCTTGTCGGGGTTGATTTTCAGATGGTGAGCGGACATCCACTGAGAGTCAGACAGGCAGAGATCCGTGCCGCCACCTGGGTGAGGGAAGGAGAGAATTGGTTGGGTGTCATAGCTCATCGGCATAGCTGTGGTAGGAGAAGCCATGATTGGTGGGGGTCAAGGAGGTTATTACAGTGGAGATTATTATGTTCACCCATCCTATTAATATTAAAATGACAATAATTGATATTTACTCATTTATTTATTTTAGTTAGATTTCGCGCGACTGTTTTAGCTTTTAGCTCGGTGGGGATTGCCAAAAAAAGACCCAGAAATCCCACAAATGATCGGTTTCAGGCATTGCCAGCTTTCGCAACTGGACAATTAAGGTGGACGCCATGAGCGATGTGAATGAATGAGATGGTGCGGGACCTAATGCTGTTTGCACGCACGGGTTCCTTTTTCTCTCTAGACTACTGAAATGAGATACACAACGTTTAGTGGCTACAACTATTTTGTGCTGAAAGGTACTTAAGTTAAGGCAGTACTTTACTTCGATAATGTAAACTGTTGGAGGGTTGCCGGCCCCCGCTTTGCGCCGGGCCTAACAACACCCCCGAACTGTAACATTATTAGACGATAAAGTACAGGCTCTCGTACCTTATTGCTTTATTAATCCACAGCATAACATATTATTTTTATTCTCCATTTTTTCTTTGGTTATATTGTTACTACTGACATTATTATTATGAAAAACTTTTAAACCTGAATTCACATCCTATCCTGCATTGGCAACTTTGAATTTGCTGTGTTTTTAGTAATCAGCATAGACAGCATAATGTGGCATGTACTGTAGCAAAACAGCTGGTTTTATGATTATTCTAAATTAATATTTGATTTGTTTCTTGTTATTACAGACCCCCAATCTAAAATAAACAAGATATATTATAATATTGCAATAGTTATTATTTAGTACTTTGATTACATTGTTTCCGTAGAAAGGACACACGCACCCTTGTAACAAACTCACAGAGTTTATAAAAAGCCCCAAACTGAAAAATTACAACGTCAGCTGATTTCTGAGAATGTTTATTAGCATCACTTTTGCAAGTCAATAGGCAATAAGAACAGAACTAACAAACAAGTGATAAAAAGTACATTGATCCATTCAGTTTGCAGTATGCAGTTGTCAACAACAGTAGAGTAGCTATTAATGCCATTTCAAATAAACTAAGTAGAACTAAGTAGAAAAACAATTAGTGTCAGTATCATTGGATCAAGTGAGCCAAGATCGGTCATCATTCCTACTGTAAAACACACAATACAAACATACAATTTCATGATAAGTAGCAGTCAATCTAAGGGAACATTAGGAATGTAACATAGGCAAATGCAGTTAGTGTAAACTAGTCTTCAAGTATCATGTTTCTGAGGTCCTTAATGTAACAATAATTTATAATACAATTAATCTTTTAATAAATAAAACACATCCACAGACTTTTGTTCTTAAAAACCAAACAGAAAACTATAAAATGACTGTTAAAAAAATATGTTGTTATAAATAAAATACAATAAATACGAAAATAAATATATAAATAGATTCATAGAAAACATATTTGCTTACACAATGAAAATAAATTAGAGCTCACTATTCCTCTCTTTCAAAATGACTGTGGGGTTGATATCACTGCCACGTGAGTGGGAATTGCTTGAGTTGATGATCCTCGACCCCGTGTCTTTAACATCGGGTACATTAAAAGCCGCCGTGGGACAGGGCCCCTGGACGTTGCTGCACACCAGCCTCTGCAGGGAGGCGGTGTTGACGATGTTGAAGCCCACGCTGCCTCCGAAGGTGCTCGGCTTCCAGTACTCCGGGGAGCAGATGGGGTTTCCCATTAAGCCCTTGAGGGAGAAAGGGGCCCCCATCTCCACCATAGTCTCCCCGAAGATTGCGTCTGTCCTGGGCTTCTCCACCAACAGACCCGGGTAGAGCTCCACAGCGTCAACGTGTCCGTAGAACTCCTCCAGAATTGCGGCCATCTCTTTCTCTCCTGAGCAACACAAACAAGGACATCGTTTTAGTTGTCTGGCTCCTGTCACTCGCTCGGTAGCGGCGGAGCTTACTGCTAGTCTAAATATCAGCGCAATGTTTTGATTGATTCAACTCCAGCCCGGATATTAGAGAAGTGTGTGTGGGCTTTTCTTTCTTACAAGCACACAAAGCCTGATAATTTTCCAGATGCATCAAACTAAGTTGGTGATCCTCCCTTCCTTTTAAAAGGAAGCAGAGGGCCTCTCTCGTCTGTTTATGGGGCGCTGTTTGTGATGACAATCTGCTTATGTTGTCTCAAGACCAAGTGAACATCTGGTTCTCAGAGTCATGGAAGTAAATTCCAAATTTTCACAGCTGCTAAAACTAAGTCCCATCATTTCTTTAATATAAGGGATTTATGGCTAAAATCTGTGTTGTTCAAGCTCACAACCAACTCATTAAATCACTTCATGACAATGGTAATGAAGCAATACTTGACCTACGGTAATATTTCCTTTCAAAATACTCTCCTAACTAATCATTAATGTCATTGCTAAGGACACAATAGGTTTTGTGACATTGTCTCACCTGTAATGTCTTCAAAGGAGCTGTAGGGCTTCATGGAGAAGCGTTTCCTGTAGGCGTTCAGAGACTGGTAGCGCATTTTTCTGCTGTTTTCAATGGACTTAATGGCCACGTACATGATGGGTCCTGGAACATTTCGGCCACCGGCAACCTAAAGGAATGAATGGAGTCATTAAATCAGCCTGAAAACACGCAAGGTTGTTACAAGCTGAATGTAAATATTGCTCTGACAGTTCTTACCCGGCCAGCGATCTGTTTGGTGAACGACTCCACGAGGTTGCCGATGCCGTGCTCGGGAACTAGGGAGGTGTTGAAGACGAATTCTTTGTAGCTGTAATCCTTCTCCTCAATGTGGAAGCTGTCAGGCATCAGCGGGTGCCAGTGGTACAAGGTGTTGAACTCTGATGCAATGCGGTTCTGGTACTGGAAGCGCTGGTTGAAAAGCAGCTCGGGATCAAACTTGAGCTTGAAGTTATAGCCGCTCAGGTGCTGCACGTAATCCTCAATCACAATCTTGATGGTCTCTCCTGCAGGACAAAAGATGACATTCCCCATAATATTATAGATGTTTCCTATGAGGAAACTTGAAAGCAAATACAATGAGAATAAACGTTAGGTACAAATATTCACTATCCAAAGGGTTCTGAATACTACAATGAAAAAGAAGCTGTATCTGTATAAGACTTTTCTACAAAATAATTATTCATGCTGTGTCTTTTTTATGTCTTTTATGTCGGGATCTTCAAATCGTTCTGGTTAGGAGTAATGGTGAACATTCAGTGAATTCCTGACAGGAAAAACCAAACATATCCTCTTTCTACTTAAGGGGAAAAGCTGAATTTCTCGATTGTGTACAACCCGGGGCGCTGGTTAATGATCAAGGAAACTAAGGTACTACTTCCTCATATCATAGCTGATTAGAAGTAACACTCTAACTACAGTAACACTATCACAGGTGTGTCGGAAGCCTTTCTTGCTATTGTTTCGATTTCCTCTGTCACATTAGAGCACAAACTCACCAATCAGAATGAGCCGTGAGGTCTGGAAGAGCCTTTCGTCGTCCCAGTCCGGGTGAACCTCCTTCAGCACATCACACACTCTGTTGTGTTCCCTCAGCCAGATGGTGGCGTACATCATCAGCCCGGGGACCAGGCCGAAGGCCTCGTGGCCCACAGCAAAGCGGTGAGAGTCGGGAACGTGGGGAGGGTAGTGCATTTCGGCGCCTACCTCTTTGACTGTTGGTGGGTACACCTCTCCATCCAGGATCTACAGAGTTATGCACGAGAGGAATCCACTGTTAGAAACTTGTGGTCTGAAGCATTTGGCTGTACAGACTGGCTATCTGCCTTTCTTCTCATACCTGATATTTGAGCTTGCCATCCTTTAAGAGTCTAAGCTTATGTTGCCTTTCCAGGGAGTCTCCATAGACGTGGCTGAGGTCCACCTGAAAGAAAACACAACACGCCATAAATACAAATGATTCATTTTACAAATCTCTGGTCTCTCCTAACTGACTAAAATCTGTCAAGGCATGAAGTCTGCCGCGTTTACCCCGTGGCCTTTAGCGACAGTAAAAGCGGGTCCTTTCTTCATATCTGATTTGAAGAACTGGTGGGTGAAATGCTGTGCGAAGAATGCAAACATCAGGCTGGAGCCCTGTGGATCCGGGATGAACTGCCTTCTCATCAGAAGCTTCTCGGCCAGTAGTTTAGCGTCAGGCAGCTCCTTTTTACCTGGAGAAACAACGTGACGGAAAAGATGCAGCACTATCAACACAGAACCGAGCCAATTTAACTTGGATTAAAGATTAACATGATTGGAATGTAATGATTTCATTTCATTTGTATGAAGAACAACGTTTCAGTGTTTCTCTGCACATTTCCACTCAGTCTATGCAATATAAGGGGTAATTTCCAAATGAGCTCTGCTCGTGCTCTAAAGAGGCCCAGCTACTGTTGGTCTGTATTCAGGAATCTGAGAAAACTGGTTCTCCAAAGGCAGACAGTGAAACTCACCTACTACTCCCATCGGGGTTGGGCAGTCCTCCGGCACAGGGGGGAGGGTGCGCGTATAGTAGGAGAGGTTTGAATATGCTTCCCAGTTTTTGTAACCATAGTCTGCATTGTAGGTCGGAGGACTATCAATCAAGTGGGATCGAGCTAGAGTGACAGAAAAAAAAATATATTTATTAGCTTCAACTGCCTGTTAACAAGTTGAAAAACATTAAAAAAAACATATTCTCATTTGGGAGCCAGCTTGAGACACTTACATGTCAGCACGTATCTCATGATGGCGTCCCTGAGGAAGGAGATGTTGTTGACGATGTTCCAGAAGCCCTTGAAGTGGGTGAGAATGTAGTGGACAGTGTTGGGCGATGGCTTCAGGGATATTTTCACCCATGTGAGGAATTCAGCTGTCCAAGACAAGAAGGAAAAGTTAATAAATGACCACAACAAATGAAACCACATAATTGAATCCACCTCATTGTGCGCCATTCCATACTTACGCGTTGTGCAGTTGTGTCCATGGAATCCCGTGCGTGTGCAATCACACTCGTAATTATCAGCTCCAAGGGCTGTGCAAACGCCCCTGTTCTGACATGGCTCTGAGCAGCATGGGTTACCTGTGACAGACGATGTTGGTCAGCTCACTTTGTTAGAGAAGCCCTTAAAAAAGGTAATTAAATCTCCGAACTCTACAATAGTTGTTACGCTGTAATATAAAAGTCTCTGCGCCAAAGACGCACGTTAATTGTGTTAACGGGTAAAAACCTAGGACATCTGAAACCAAACTTTTAACAGTGCTACCTTCTGTCTGACAACCTGTTTCATCCACTTACCTCCTTCGGCGACAAGGAAACCGATTGCCAAGAGGAAAACGGCCAGTGCAAATCTGTTCATATTCCAGACTTTGTTGGAGCTCGTTTTGATTTCCATGTGTCGCCTTTCCGCCGTGGAGGTGCCGGTTTTACGCGAGCAGTCTGACTGCCGACCCTTTGCGCAGCACCGTCTTATATTGCCTATAGTGACGTCAGTCGCAAGTTGCAATGATTACATCGACCAGTAGTTGTAGGTGAGGAATATTCTTTCACAATCCGATATTGTACATTTCCAAAGATTGAGTTATGTGGGTTTTGGCAACAAACTCACATTCATGGCATTATTTAAAAATATATATATATTTTTTAAACTGAACTGAAAAATATATATATTTTTTAAAGATGCCAACTTTCATTTGTAATTTGTTTTTCCTGTGTTGTAGAGAAAAATGCACTTTTCAAACGTTAGAGTTAGGCCTACTATTCCCCTGAATATCTCATTTTTACAGACCACATTTCCACCATAGGACAACCCTAATTCAAGCCACTGATATGATTTAATGTAGCAAAGTAAACACGGGAATAAAGGTATTACTTATTATTTATTATTTGTTCATGAAAAAATGTATTGTCTCTCAGGGATGAAGTTTAATGAACAAAACCAAAAATACACGTGTCCTTGTTAATTCAATGCCCAGGCGTCCTCTATCTTGTATTGTTTGATGATAATTTCTTTTAAAAGCAACCGTGAGAACATTTGCATGAATAAGTACTGAGCTGCAAATGTGATGTACATATACAACTGTCAATATTCGGCTTAAAATAATTATAATAATGTATCATGGGAAGCAATTCACAGAAGATGTACGCGCCCTCCGGTGACGGCAACAATTGCGCACTGGTGCGCATTCTGTCGGTGGGGAACTGTCGCACGGACAGTTCGAGTTTCCTCTTTCCGTTTGACATGTTTTTTAAAGCAACATTTCACACTGGACGTTATTTTTAGTCCCACGCGTGTTGTATACTGCTGTATTTTTGCTAAGTTTGAAGTCTGGTAGTATCCAATAATCCAGTTTTTTTTGCGGTGTCTTTTACCGAGAAGCACCTCCTACTTTAGTTCTACAGTGGAGCAACGATTACCTCGAGCATGTCTGAACTTTCTGAAATTTTTCTCAAGTGAAGGTACGTTTCCTATTATTTTTTCATTGGGTGCATCTTTTTGTGCAAGTACGACAGCAAGTTTGACAGTTGAGTTGTGTTTTAATGACCAGCTTTCCGCAACCCGGAGAATAAGGAAACGCGCTGTGGCCAACACGTAAGTACTCTAATAATCCATTTGCCAAACGCTTGTATTCAGCAAATAACATAGACCGGAGTGATCAGAAGAAATGAGTTACCCATAAAAAAAGTCCCTATCCTATTTGGTTTGTGATCACAACATTGATACCTTACTCTATCATTCCAATAATGTAACATGATCTGAGGCAATGATTCAATCTTTTACTACAGGTTGAAAACTAATACCATCTGGCGCTTTCAGACGTGACTTTAAATTGCCTATATTTTGGAAAAACCTCTTAATCTGGCCCAATAACAACTTTTATCACCATAACTTTGCCTGTTAAAATGTCCTCTTTACTCCGACTTTTGTCCCGTATGTCTTTGACCTTAATACAACCCCAGAGGTACACGTTTTGTCCCTTTATTCTATCATTCCACTTTTTCACCACTTTTTCAATCGTTGCTGATGACTTCATATCATTGTTTTCTGTCCCTTTAAAAAAAAAAATCATAATTTGTTGAGTTACAGGGAGCCTTTAGTCAAAACCACCCTGTTGTGCCTATGCAATGTGCCATTGTGTACTTCACTGACGTATGACAAACTATCAGGGGAGAAGGGACACTGTCAGCCATTTGAAGGACACAAACAATGATACAGACACCAACTTTTTCATGTGGGACCGTCTTCCTTTTCACACAAATGCATATGAACTCTAACATAAAAAAAAGATAATCTGTTTTTTCCTGGAAATTACATTACATTTAGCAAATGCAGGAATCTTTCCTTTGGTTCCCAAGTCAAAAATCGTTTACCTTTACAACACTTATATTGGTAATATAATATACTGTGGATGTTTTGCATCAGGGCTGATCTCTTTCACTCTTTGCATCCACTTATGAAGCTCTGGAAGCTTCTTGGTTATGTTGGCACATGCAGCATTGAACAGACTGCATGCACTCATTGTACGCTGCGGAACAAGGGCGTAGTGAACTGGCACTTGCAAAAGTTGGAACCCTGATGCAAACTACGTGACGAGAGCTGTGAACACACACGCTTCCTACGTGCAGGGTCCACTGAGTAATAATACGCTTTGATGAACAGCAGAGAAAAAGCTTGCTGACCTTGATACGCTATCTCCAGCACCCACACTCACACACACGCACAACCTCTATGCAAATGTCTTATTAACATATGTATGTCCAAACATTGAAGAATACATATTGGACATATGGAAAGAGAAAGCCTTAATGTTGCAATTAAGATAATAATAAAGATCCACCACCTTTTATATAGACGCACACGTGTACACGCACAGACTGTTTTATACCCAATATCAGCCGCCTTTTGCATTAAGGAGGAATTTGTATTTACTTCCGTCATTTTTCTCTCTCTCTCTCTCTTTCTTCATGTGCACGTGGTGCACTTACGTCGACACATACATATATGGTCGCTGTGGTAGTTTGTGACTCAGCACACTTCCTCTTGCCCATGTCAAGATATTTCTGGAGCAGGCTTTGGCTGTTTGAAGAGGTTGTGCTCTTTCAGTAGCGTGAATGATTGTTGATGCTGATGCGACGTTGTTGAAACCCAGCTAAAAACGACTTAATGTTAATTTGTGTGTAACTGATGTTAAACATTTTTGATTCATCTTCCAGCTTCCCAATGCTCCCGCCCTTGACTGAGATGCTCACCTGAGTTAAAGTTCACAACTTGACAAAAGATTTCCTGAGAATTACTCACCTGACGCACAATGGCTTCCAATATAATCGTGAGTATTGACTTTCCTGGCATCGCATGTCCTACTTTAGAATTCATTTCACTCTTACTGCTACAAAGCAAAAACTCAACCAAACTGCCTTTTCATGACCTCAGAGACCAAGTACATTTAACGTGGGTGGTTTTAAGCAGTATAAAATGATCTGTGCGATAGCTGCATTCTCAACCCTGTACTACATTGTTTCCCATCTGTTAAAGTCTGACATTTCTATTTCCTTTTTAGTATCAGGAATCAGGAATCAGGAAACATTTATTGCCATAATATGTCAGACATACAAGGAATTTGACTTTGCGGTTGGTGCGAAACAGAAGACAGTACGACAATGTACGACAAGACAATAGTGCACGAGCAATAAAATAAAAAATAATGCTATGGGTTAGTAGTAGTAGTAGTAGTAGTTAGTAGTACCTTTCTCCTTCAAACAAAATGAACCCTCCTGTATGAGAATAAGCAGTAGTCAATTCCACAGTTCAATCATTAGTGAATACAACAAGTTAAGAGTTTTTTGTACAGCCGAAGAGTTCCAACTGCCTGTGAGGAACAGGAAAAAACACGTAGCAGAAATATCCCAAACAAGTTCTTAATCCATCATGTGGGTTTAGTGATGGATATCTAAGAAGGAAGTACAAAGCTACATTGTTTAGAGATCAATTGCCTCCAAAGAATGTCTCTGTTTTAATTTTTTTTTTTTTTAACCTCTAAGATCTAAGGTTAGCAGCAATAGTGACCGTTATACTTGTTATAGATAGAGTTATATATATAATTTACATTCTAATTTAATGTTATGGATGAGGCACCAGTAACATACTTATTTAGTTATCCACCGGTACTCAAATTGAGTACCGGTGGATTAACATTAAGCCTCGGATTTCTATAAATCCGAGGCTTAATGTTAACTCTGAACAGCAGATTTTATTGTCAACTTAGCAAATCTAAGATGCTCTCTCTTTTCGACCACTGAATCTGCGGGGAACCTGCAGGCAACACAATTTTTCATACCTAGATTTTCCTCAGTGAGACAATTTCACTGAACTAAATGATTCTTCCATTGCAGGTGGAGCAGCAGTTTCCTCTCAAATTTACAGTGACAGTGGTTCGAGCCAAAAACGTCACCAAGGGAGCGCTGGGCGACCTGTGTGAGTTTTCATACAAAACCACACAAATAACATACGCTTGGGATTCTGCTACTGAGCAAAACTGTTTTATTTGCATGTGTTTGCAGTGGACACCCCAGATCCATATGTAGAGCTGTTCATCCCAACGGCCCCAGAGAGCAGAAAGAAGACAAAGCACATAGACAACAACATCAATCCTGAATGGAACGAGACCTTTCACTTCATACTGGACCCCAACCAGCAGAACCTCCTAAAGGTTCAAACCTGCATTTCTTCGTTGATGTAGCACAATCTAAAGCCATACAGGAGAAAAAGCAGAGATGTAATGGAGAGTTAAATGTTATTATCATATAAACTAGTATCAGAACTCTTCTTAGTAGTCATTAGAGAAGTCTAAGAAAATAATAATACATACACAAGACTTTTCTAGAAGTCTGCATTAAACTTTGTTTGACTCCTTGACAAAACTGAACTGGAATTGAACACATGCCAGCATGATAATTAACTATTTATCTGATTATGTTTATCCCAATCAGTTAACATTGATGGATGCCAACTATGTAATGGATGAGAAGCTTGGGACTGCGACCTATGACATCACCAAGCTCGGAGTGGGCCAGAAAAAGATGGAGCCTTTCCTCATTGGAAAAGTAAGAAATGAAACCCTTTGGCTGTTTCTCTATGACCTCACATTGGGCCGGCTGGCGTTGGTAAAACTTCTAGGAGCTTACTTTAAATTCTAATTAAGATCCAGTGTTTACCAAAGAGGTGAAATATGACATAGATTGCATATTGCCAACTGCAGGTACATATGCTGCATATAACTAGAATGCAGAATAACTCGTAACCTTTTGGTGTCGGATTTTAACAGATTAATGAAATTTTCAGAATTCCAAAGAGCGATTAATGACATTTCAACTTAAATAACGTTATAATTTGGTCAACATTAGCAACATTGACATTGGTCAATATTTGCAAACAGTTAACCATTCGTGTTTCTTTTTGCTATTATAGATTGTGTTTAGCAGCTTTTTTACTGGTCGTATTTAATTGTTTTCACAGGTAACCACAGTTTACTTAGAGATGTCCCTGGAGATCTGGTATGTACATCCTTTGAATTATTTTTTACAAGTCTAATGGTTTTCCACAATTCGCTCTGTAATTAATCTAAATTAATTTGGGTGAAACAGCGATAGCGGTTAGATATGAGCAAAGCTTTTGCAAAAACTGAAAATACGACCTATTTATAGAACCATCCCAGATCTTATCTGACCTGAAGATTAGTTTCAACATCCTCAGTAGTGTCACATACACTGAGAAATCATACTCTCAAGAGGAAATATAAAACACAAGTTACTGTTCCCCACAATCAGGTTTATTAAACCATATGGTATTTTTGTTCCTGCAGCACCAAACTGGATCTGCGGTTTAGCCTGGCCCTGTGTGACAAAGAGAAGCAGTTCAGACAGACCCGCAGAGACAGAGTGATGCTGGGCATCAAGAAGTTGCTGAACATGGAGAAGCCTTGTTTCCTCCCCAGCGCTCCAGATGAGGTGGGAAAAAAACCAACAGATTTAATAGGGAAAGACTTAAACAGGTTTCAGTCATTTGTGTGAAACTATGAACTGAGTCTATTCCAGCAGTGAAGTTCTCCATCGGTCTGAACTTCACTTCATGGAGTGCTTATCCAAATTCATGTTTTACATACGTCACGAAAAATACAAATACACTGTGTGCGCTGCGCTAACATGAAGGCAGTCAAATTCCTGCTGTGTTTCTTACAGTGAAATAAGTTAAGAAAGCATGTTCATTTATGTCAGCTAATCGTATTTGCTTCTTTGCTGTCTTCATTCTGGCTAATTGTTTCCTGTCTGCAGCTTCATATCTAGTGTATCTATTCTACAGTCTATTTCACAAAAATGTAAAATATTCCTTTAACAAAGTTGAGATAATGGAGCATTGTGGCATGTGATCTCCGGTCCACAGCCACACTCGCAGGCTGTATCTAAAATGTGATTTTCCTATGTTGTCTCCGGTAGCCTGCCGCTCCACTTGAACACTATGCTGTGTGTTGTGGTTAATGCTGCTATTTTTATAACATTTTAAAAGCCCCACCTGCACCACTTGCAATCCCTCCATCTACTTTCCCCAAAGGGGAGATTTACATCACTCTCTGCTGTGCCACGTTGTCTTATGAGTCAGAGGGTATAGATGATAAATACCTATGCTCTACATATTTGACACTGAAGTCATAACTATTTCCATGTGAGTTAGAACTGATGTATTCTCTCAACGTTGTACATTTCTGTGATACACTGTCATTTAACATATTCATTGTCATAATGTGTAGCACTTAATAATTCCGATGAAAAAAAAATCATCATCATGCTTATTTTTAAGGTCTGTTCTTCATGTAATGTAATCAGATTTCCAAAAACACTATGACATTCCTCCCATTAGGAAGCCAATCATTCGGTAACACATACAAATACAAAGCAAGTTCTGCTCTCCCAGTTAAAGCTTAACTCAGTTTCATTTCTTTGTTGGTGTGGTTTTGGCGGGCGCCCTCGGGCATGACTGTAACCTCCAGCCTGCCCTGCTCAAGTCCTCAACCTGGGCCAGAAGTTCCGTAGGAATGAGATTACCAGCTACTCTCTTCCACCGTGCTACAACCCTTCAAAGCTCCCAATCCGCCATGACTGTTGTGGAAATATGTAAGAAAACTCAGAAGTGACAACCCAATAAGCACAGACAGGAAGGCAATGTTGCACAATAAGAATTATGAAATATTTGAAGAAAGGCCCGAGTGAAAAATGTTTGCCAGGGTGTGACGCAATCCACTCCTTCAGTGTATCGATGCACACAGGGCGGATGTTACTTAACGTTGAAGAATGAGAATGAATGTGCGACTCATGCTTTGAACAGTGGAGTGTGTAATTATGCGAAAGTAGGCTTCTTCCTCACATTATGACTATGTCCATGTGTATAAGTGTGTGTGTGTGTGTGTGTGTGTGTGTGTGTGTGTGTGTGTGTGTGTGTGTGTGTGTGTGTGTGTGTGTGTTGCAGGTACCAGTGATAGCCATAGCGGGCTCAGGAGGCGGTTTCCGGGCCATGGTAGGCTTCTCCGGTGTGATGAAAGCCTTGTTTGAGTCTGGGGTCCTTGATTGTGCAACATACGTCGCCGGACTCTCCGGATCTACATGGTCAGTCATTTTTTCTCTTCTTTTTAAACCGTTTGGTTTCTTTAACCCATTTTATTTCTAAAGACACTTTTTCTCTTTCGCTTCTTTGTTATAGATATTTTTGGCTTTGATCATTTATTTCCGTCTCACTGTACTCGGCTTGTGGCCAGCTCTCGTTCAGTGACTTATTGGATTTAATTATTTCCTCACAAGTGCAGCCAACACCTTGAAAAGTGCTATTTTGAGCATCCATTTACAGATTATCTTAAACAGTTTGAATTGCATTGGGATTTCCACAATGTTTATTTTTAAATGATTTATTTCCTTATCCCTTTAGGTACATGTCCACTCTCTACTCCCATCCAGAGTTTCCAGACAAGGGCCCAAAGGACATTAATGCAGAGCTGATGAAGAGGGTTAGTAGTAACCCATTGAAGCTCTTGCTGCCTCAACATATCACCAACTACATCCAGGCCCTATGGACCAAAAAGGCTTCAGGGCAACCTGTTACCTTTACGGATGTCTTTGGTATGCTCATAGGAGAGACGCTTCTACCTGCGGTAAGAGCCGCCTTACAGCTGTCGTTTTTCACTTCATTTTGATGGGATTACTTATCTATCCATTTCTTTGCAGCTCAGCTGTACCTTGATCCTTCCCTTTCTTTGTTGTCTGTTTCACCCTGTTGATTTTTAATTCAAAATCCACTTAATCATGATAAATGCTACTCCAACTACCTGAAACTGTAAATATGTATGACTCAAACTCAGTTTTCTCTCCCGACAGAGGATGGACAGCAAACTGAGTGGCATTCAGGAGAAAATAAACCAGGCACAGAGCCCTCTTCCTCTCTTCACATGTCTGCATGTCAAGCCAGATGTTTCAGAGCTCATGTTTGCAGGTAACTGTCCGTTATGTCTGCATGTGCCTTTAGGTTATATTATGTTTTTCATGCACACCGTGTCCCTCGGAGAACTATTTACTATACGTATCAATAACCTTTAGATGGGTTGCTCACCACCCCACAACACTCCTGAGCAACAACTGTAAATTACCCTCTAATCGAAAACTTGAATATAAGATACATTTAGGAGCTTGCTCGCAAATCGGCGCCACTCAGCACTGCATTCATCAAGTACTGAGGTCACCACCGATAATGCCAAGCAGACCCAAAGCTTAATTGCGTAAGCATGAGCTCTATTTCCCCCGCAGTTAACTCTGTCCGCACTGTTGCAATTGTTTTCTAGCTGTTTTGGCTCAGCCGCTGCTACGATTTGAACCATGCCGAGGTTGAGTCTCCCAATGCTTTGCTCGCAAATTGGAATTGTCTTTTTTGTATGTTTAAAGGCTGCCGTTGTATCAAGGCTTCCTAATTTTATGCTCGAAGAAGGACAAAGAAATGTGTTTAAAATTATGTGTTTCAATAACAAAGAAAGGCACCGAAGGCACAATAAAAGATTATGTTATTGCATCATATCTCTTAGAGATCTTTGGTAACAACATGTCACTTAGCATGTAGAAGGCAAAGCATAAAATGATGAAGCCACACACATAACTTATCCTCAAATTTCAGCTGAATTTAAAAAAGATACCAAAATACCAATTGCCAAATTGTAAAATTACATAAATTAGTAAGATAAATAAGTCAATTTTGTCAATTAAGTTCAGCAATGAAATTGTCCTGAAAAAGGTTGACTGAAAACCCCCTTTTTCCCTCATCCACCCCTGTGAGTCATCCTACTCTCTGTATTGTATTGTGCAGTACAGTTATGGGGCGCACAACAGAGAGCAAGGGCTCATAGTGACTACAGACTACAGACTTTATTCAGATTGATTTAGCCCAAAAAAAAAGCATTTCAGGGCATTACAGTGTAAAATGAAAGTGTCTCTGCCAAAACTGCCGAAAGACAATTCTTTTAGATTGAGTATTTCACGCTTTTCAGATTTGTATTCATAACAATAGTACCTGCATTGTAATTCAAGCGACATATTAGTCACCGACAGGTGCGGTTGTGTTACATTAATGCTGGTGCTTTATCATCCAGACTGGGTGGAGTTCAGCCCGTATGAAATTGGGATGGCAAAGTACGGAACCTTCATGACCCCCGACTTGTTTGGAAGCAAGTTCTTCCTGGGAACCGTTGTTAAGAAATACGAGGAGAATCCCATTCATTTTCTGATGGGTGAGAATTCTTTTGAATCTAACGCAGTCAGAGCAGTTATTAATAGTGAACCTACTAACAGTACATTTTCACTGTCAGGTGTGTGGGGCAGCGCCTTCTCGATTCTGTTCAACCGAGTGCTGGGAGTCAAAGACACAGTCGGTCTCAGCACCATGGAGGAGGAGCTGGGTAACCTTCATGTTCCTTTTTCTTTGTATGCTTTGTTCTGAGAAAAACTATTCTGGTAAATGAATTATTGCATAGAAGTCCTAAATATAATTAGAAGGGGGATTATCGCTGTTCTCCTTTTTAATATAAAAATAATATATTTAGAAATATATTTAGAAATTGAGCCTTGAACATGTTCATAAATATGTGTTAAGTCATGGGGGCCTGGTACGTCTTTAAGTGGGTATAGGTGTTTGTTCCCTACGGATAAAAATCCACATTCAGTCGTGCCTGACATCCTATTGTTGTCTTTATTTTCTCTCTTTTAAAAAAAAGACACGTCAACCTAAAATGATCTCACCTGATAAAGAATGTGTAGCGTAAGAGTGCGGATGTGTGTCATTGTAATGTTGCTACAACAGTGGGAAGAAAGATCACCTGCGAAAATTCCGACTGCTGATCATTTGTTTGTTTTGCTTGAACGCATTTGTTTGTGGTGACCTTTAAACATAAAAAAAAAATGCATCAGCTGGTTGTACAACCAACATGTTTAACAACGCTTTAGTTTGTTCGATGTGTTACTGTCGTTAGTGATACACAGTAAATAGAAAGATGTAGAAGTGCTGAACCTGACGGGTGAAGCTGTCTCGTGTCTTACAGAACAGATCAAGCCACAGCACATTGTGGGAGACGACAGCATGGACAATGATGACGAACCACGTAAAGGTGATGTACTGTGTGATTACATTTGTTATGATGCAATTAATATGTCTGACGTCGAATGGCGGCAGTTACTTTTTGAGTGTGAGCCCTAGTTGTGAGTGATGTTTATCGACAGAATAAACAGACAGAAAGAGGAAGAAATAAATAAAGAGAAATCATAAGTGGAATTAAGTGACTGATTTTTGTTTTCTTTTTATTGTAGAACACATTACACAATTTTTCAATCCTTTTGGCTGCGTGATTTATGCCAGTCCAACTATACTTTCTCTTTTAGTTAATTTAGGAAAGTAGATGGCTCATGTGTATTTTTTTGGTCTCATTTACTTGTATAGGAAGCCACTATCAAATAATTTTCTGCAACATTTGATCTGACAGGATCTTGTCATTATTTTTGGTGCTAAGGTGGGACAGAGAACTTGAACGCAGAAGAAGAGTACAGTCTCACTGCTCAGGCTAGCTGGGTTCAACGAATGTTCACATCACTCTTCAGTGACTCATCCTTATTCAACACAAGAGAGGGCCGGGCCGGGAAGGTAACTCAATATGTTCATGCACCATAAGACAATAAAGCTCGTACAAAACAGCTGCATACTTATTTTACTTTTTCTGTATTAAGAGTTACGATAACCCTTTTCTCCTCTAATCTAATCCGTTTCCAGGTGCATAATTTTATGCTGGGCTTGAACCTGAACACCAGCTTTCCATTCAGTGAGATCACTTGCAATGCCACCACACCTGAAGATGAGGTAGATAACGTGACAGGTAGGTAACAGGGTCAACATGAATGGCTTTTAGACTGTTTTCTCACAACATTCTTCCAGACATGTATGGGGACGGGTGTTGACATGACTCTTCAAAGTGACGCCTGAGCATTACCAATTAACGTCGCGCTAGTTTTCCAGCGCTCCGACGACGCAGTGAGGTCATGTTTTTTTGTTTCACTGTCCCATTCCATCTAAAAATATGCACCCTGCGAAACAACATTTGTGCAGATATATTAAATAATACATTTTATTAAAAAATACATTTAAGAATGCAATGAGCCTGCTTTCCACTACAAATCTTTTCAAAGCACTTTTGTGATGCAACAGCAGTCTGTGAACTCTGTACTTTTGTAATATGCAAAGTTGTGAATAAAGTTCTTAAAATAAAATAATTTGGAATTTTCCCATGCCACCTCACCTGTAATACCACCACGACCCGCTAGAGGGTCGCGCCCCACAGTTTGAGAAACACCGCTCTAACTTAACAGATGTCTAACAGCGACACGATCGCTCAGAGTTGAGTCCTTTTAGCGCCGGTTTGGTCTCCACCAACTGCTGAACGAAATACATTTGGATATTTAGCTTTTAAATGCTCCACATTGTTAGTGGCTGACTTTCCTGTCTGATTTGTGCTGCAAACAGCTGTCTGTGAGGAGAGTGTTAACCAAAAATAGTCAATCAATCAATCAATCAATGAAGCAAAAGAAGCTGAGATGTTCCTTAGAGCTGACCTGCAGAGTTCGGCGTTATGGTGAAAAAAGTAGTTGAGTCATACATAGTTATTTTGATGAGGTCATTTATTTGGAATTAAACGTTTATGTTGCTGTCTCATTTATTTAATTTGGTCTTATTTTCTCAGACCCAGATGAGTTCAATCGTATTTACGAACCTCTGGATGTGAAGAGCAAGAAGATCCATATAGTGGACAGTGGCCTGACCTACAACCTTCCCTACCCTCTCATCCTGCGGCCGCAGCGCGGCGTCAACCTCATCATCTCCTTTGACTTTTCTGCACGACCCAGTGACTCCAGCCCCCCATTTAAGGTTAGAGTCACAACTCTCTCTACAGTCACAAATCGCTAAAAATAATCTGTGCAGACAGGAAGTCGTTAACCACTTGCTTCTAATTTGTAAACGTATGTCACAGGAGATCCTATTAGCAGAAAAGTGGGCTCGCATGAACAAGCTTCCATTTCCCAAAATTGACCCCAGAGTCTTTGACCGCGAGGGTCTGAAGGAATGCTACGTCTTCAAACCGGAAAGAGGCCAAAAGGACTGTCCGACCGTCATCCACTTTGTCCTGGTCAACATTGACTTCAGGACATTCAAGGCTCCTGGTATGTGCGCGGGTGCCGGCAGTTTCCAAAGCAATGTGTGAGGAAGAAAGTATGACTTTGCACGGTTATAATGCGGCTGTTTCAGCGTCACGGCACGTGAGGCATCTCTTCCTGCAGAATGGCTCACTGTGGATGAACCCTGTTCATTCCGTGGTTTCTGAAGTTGAGCCAAAAGTTGGGCCCCTCATTTTAAAACAAGACCGCTTCCTGCTCAGGGAGTGTCAAAGCATACCAGCAGTTTACTGAGTGTGCGTGTGTGTGTGTGTGTGTTCACGCGCACATATATGGACTACAGTGTGTCCAGGGTTTTATAAGCTGCTCAGGTGATTTATGGTTCCCTAACGAGCCAGGTGCTGCTATGGAATCTCTCGCTGCAGTGGGAGAGCTCATTTGTAAGCGGACCATATAACACGAGCCCTACAGAGACCCTCTGTCTCCACTACTGCATCTAGTCAGTCAGTAAGCCATCTGCCCGCATACTTCTCACGTCTGTTTATGGATTTAAGATTGGTTTTTGCACCAAAAACCAAAAGAAAAATTTGCCTTAAATGGACTTTCTATTTGTTAGTTATAAAGGTCATTATGAAGTTGGTTCAATATTGTGTGCATGAACCTTCCAAACCATTACTGCTTCCTGAATAATGTCATCTTTTCTCCAATAACACTACTATAAAATGTGTTCCTCCAAAAAGTAGTGAATATAACAAGCTATTTTGAATAGTTAATTATTGACTTTTAGGTTAGGACAGTTAGGTGTACTCAATACTATTTGGAAAACACTTCCCCAGTGAGCATATCCCATGGTTAGATTTTCAACCTATTTAAGAAACTTAGATGAACAAAGTAATTTTCAAAAAAGCATTGTGAAACTGTTATTTTTCCTTGTTTGGCTGTCTTGGCTAAAAAGACAATGAAAAATAATGATAAAAAATGAACTATTTCATATGATAATATCATATGAAATTGGCTTCAGAAAGGCTCATTTATAGATCATTAATAGACCTTGAAGTGACCAAAAGATAAAGTTAATATTGAACTGTCAAAATGTATTAAATGCTTTGTCACTAATATCAAGTCTGCGTTTGGGCTAATGGACCAGATTTTGTGGATTTATTTCCTTACTCTCTCACAGGTGTTCCCAGAGTGACAGAGATGGAGAAGGAATTTGCTGATTTCGACATCTTTGACGATCCTGAGTCACCGTTCTCCACGTTTAACTTCCAGTACTCTAACGAGGCCTTCACCAGACTCCATGACCTCATGGAATTCAACACACTCAACAACCTGGAGGTCAGTTTTGTTGTCATAGTTTGCAAACAGTTTGGATGACTGCCGTCACCAGGGGTTTAAAAAGGGATTCAGGGTTTTTACCTTTGTTCATCCATCATCATTACAGTTTTGTTGTGCAATATCCCAAGGGCCTTCAAGACCGGATACAACAAGTTTGGTCTGGTACTAAGTCTACTATCACAATAAGAGGTTGAAAGAGGTTAGACTGACCTTCACTCACTGTGTGACTCACTTCCGAGTGATGCAATCTATTGTTTTATTTACTGAAAGCTACTTCAGACTAATGCTAACTAACAATAGAGACATCTTGATTATATGGTTTCTTGCACAGTTAGTCAGCAGCACTCGTTGCTTGATCGGACACATCAGCACTTTTTGATTAGATGTCTTGAAAACAATGTGTGCATACTGATCTTACGTAAAAAGCTGTATCAATGGACACTTATAGCCACGCTGGTAGGCGGTTCCATGAATGTCAATGTCATTTGTTCTGTTACCTTAGTCCAGATTGGAATATTGTTGGATGAACTTTTTGTACATTGAACGATATTTGACAGAACTGCCTGACTTTTGACATGTGGCTTAAAGGACGTAACAAGCAAATGAACACTGGAATGGAAATATTATCCAGTAGATAACCCGGCCAACTCTTTTCTGAGGAAATGAATTGGCAGTGGAATGGAATTTGGGATTTAATCCCTGTATTTAAACAACAACAAAAAAGTACTTTCTTGATTTGTTTTTGTTCTGGGTCTGTAGCCTCATGGTTGAATGCACTTATTGTAAGTCACTTTGGATAAAAGCGTCAGCTAAATAAAATGTAATATATTTTTGGGCCCCACAGGTGATAAAAGAAGCCATCAAGGATAGCATCTCGTCCCGAAAGGAGAATCCATCGATCCTCTCCCATCCCTTCTCCCTCAGTGCGATCCCGAAAAAGAAGTTTCACAAAAGAGAATCTCAGGCAAAGCCCTAGAATAATGAGAAATGACTTATCTAAGACTGTTGACATAGCAAACTCTCAGTCTTAAAGAAAAGTGTTTTCTTTTTGGAAAATGCTATCATGGTAATCTTTTTTTCTCTGCAATGCATTCCGTTGGTATACAATAAAACAGTTATAATTTCATCTGGTATCGTTTGCACAAATGTGACTTTTGTGGAAACTGTTAATGTCATTTCCCCGCATACAGCATCATTTATCCTCTGGCAAAGGGAAGACCAATCGTTGAGAATCAACACTTACTAAATGCCGCAACGTGAATAGGTTGTTACAGCTGACATCTGTCTCTGTCACAACATTTCCTATGCCTGGAGGTGTCCAGGCTGCATTTGCATTTGTACCGTGACTCAGCCATGTCTACATTTACCTTGGTGCTGCGTTAATGCAATGTAGGAAGCCTGATGTGTGCCTTTAACTGTTTGTTTGTTGAGCTATTTCCATATTGACGACAGAACATGCAAATCCCTGAGTTTTTATTTTTGTACTTGTTCGGTTTGTTGGCCGGCTCGTACAGACATGCGCCACTTTTTTTAAAACCATGGAGGAGTTTGTAACCATTGTTTTTGTTTGATGTCAACTCCTCGACACCCTCTTTAAATACCTCAAACATCTCAATGATGCTTGCACCTACAGGAAAAGAGCACTCCCTGCTTCCCCATAGGGAGTGTCCCATATCAAAGCCACCATTTTGTAAAAACAAAACTCAATACCATAGAAACGGCCCCGGTTACTCCCCCCCTCCTCTCTCTTTTCCAACTCTAGGTGTGTTTATTTTCCCTGATCACCTAGTTTCAGGCTATATTTTAGACAAAGGAGCGGTTTTTTTTGCGGTCCTCTTCCGCGCCCATTACACACGGCACGATGCAGGACGCCCAGTGAAGTGGAGCTCAGGTCGGGAACTGGGTGGAACTGGTGAGAGCGATCAAGAGGATCGCAGGCGCCCAGTGGAATTTCACACACAACACCTACACCTGCAGCAACGGAAGCCTTGAAGCGGACACACTAGACTACCTGCAAGGAGCCGAAAGCTGTGAAATTTTGAGCCCTTCCAAACCTTATATATGCTCATGTTTCAGCCCCACTGGTCTGGAAGACGCACTCTCGCTGTGGGAGTTCATGACCCCAAAAAACATTTGCCAAGTTTCTTTTGTGCTCATTTTTTTTTAAGGCGCTTTTGGTTATTTGACGCCACTTGTCTGTTACGTACTAGTGAAAGTCTCGACGTCACGGGTGTCTTTCTAAAGTTTCTAAAGCATAATTGCTGGTGGTGGGGCCAGTTTATGTTTGAGAGACCGAAACACAATGAGGCTGTGGATGGACTTTCAAATTGAAAGACGAAGATGAAAGGCTTATGGGGGCCATGTGTGGCCCGAGTCTCTCATGGAGGTGAAGGGATTGCACCAGAGGGCGTTGGTTCCTTTCTTTTGCTTTTCTTGTAATCTGCTGGTATACGTTGTTCCACTGTTTTCTTTAAGTTAACACCTGCTGGCTGTAGCCTCACTCATGAGACAAATTATATTACTGATATTTACATCAAGTAAGCACACCGTCACAAATTTTTAAAATTAAAAACTAAAAAAAAAGTTTAAAGTTTTACTCAAAGCAACAAAAAAACAAGCAGAAATCTTTTTGTGTGACATTTTGTCAAACTCAGCGAGCTAATACTTTTATTATGGTGTGGTTATTTTAAAAGCCTCTTCATGAATGAATTAATCTGTATTCATCTTTAATAACTTGATCATTTGTCCCATTACAATGTTTACAAATGTTAAAGATGCTAGATGGTCAGTCCTGTACTGTACTGTACATGTACTATGAAATGTAGGTTGTAGAGTGTGTTGGACTGCAGGTTGAAAGATGTGGTTAATTACGGTCTGACAACAAAATGCGATTGGCTGCATTAGGGGAAGTTTGTAATTTGGGTGCACTGTGTTTCCTACTATAAAAAGAATATTTTATAAATTATATTCTATTGTCGACGATTGTGTTCAAAATCAGCTGCCTCAAAGTCAGTCGGGATCATTGACTTGTAGCGTTAGACCAGAGTGTAGACACACAAACATCCTCAATCAAGAAGCAAACAAATTCAATGCAAAAATCCGGAATAATAAATCTGCATGGGTTGCAACTAGTATCATTACTGAACCTTAGATTGCACACTGAATTTGCAATTTATGTGCTGTAAAGATTTTTTAAGATCATTTTTTGTCAGTGACTAGCTTGCCTTATATTCAGTCAGGAGTCTACTAATTTGTTATTTAACAAATCATTAGCATCCCCCTTAATAGAACTTAAAACATGTATTAAGTAGTTCATGATGTAACAAAACCACACATCAGAACCCCTTTTGCCTGCAGAAAGCATGGAGGCCACCCACAGTCTCTCCCAGGCTGAAGACCTGCTCCACTGCAACACAACTCATTCATTACATTCCCTAATTAAATCATCACCCAAGGGCAATATTCCCTCTTAGGAAGGTACTTATTAAGTGGGTAGCACGCTTTACAATGTTGTCGCTCCTTTTCTCTGGCACGGAAGCACCTGGACCTGGGCCCTGAAGATTTTACATTGAGGTCTGGGGAGCTGCAGGAAGCGAAACCGCCTCAGAATAAAAATTTTCCAGGGTTTTTCAATTTGCACATTCACGTGGAAGTCCTGTATATTCCTGCATTGCCAGCTTTTGATGTGCTGACTCATTCACATAGCACAGACGAGTTGGGGCACCCTACAAAGCCCCAAATTAGGACACTCATGACCAGGGCACGCAAGAGTGTGTGTGTGTGTGTGTGTGTGTGTGTGTGTGTGTGTGTGTGTGTGTGTGTGTGTGTGTGTGTGTGTGTGTGTGTGTGTTTGTGTGTGTGCGAGAGAGAGGGAGTGGAAGGAAGAAAGAAGAAGAATATTTAATGTTTAATAGGAGCCCAGCGATGAGGAGTTAAGGGAGATTTATCTGTTTCCCAATCATATCATATTGCTTTTCCGGTTGAGTTATTGAGGCTTTGTGTACGACCACGGAAAACATGTCTGGGTCATTGGGCAACACCTTCTTTTTCTGCTGGGAAAGACCAGTTCCTGAGTCAAATAAGTCAGATATGGTGCGGGTGTGGGAGGAAATGGGTGATACACTAGTGTTCATGAGCGCCTGGTTATTTTACACAATGGGGAAGTTTTTATGGCTAATCCAATCATTTTTATGAAGGTGGAAATTTTGTGAACCGTTGAATGCGACATTAATGAATGGTACATGCCGGTGAATGGCGGCTCAAGGAAATGAGTTGAACTATGAGCACACGTTGTCACCATTGATTAGTCGGAGTGGCCGTAGTAGCTTAACCAAACATTGGCCAAATTACCAGATACAGGAAATATGAGCAAATACACAATCCCCATTATTTTCATTTGTAAAGATTCCCATCATTTGACATTGAAATCTGGGAAACTCAGGTGGTTTGTTTAAAGCAGTGCATTATTTAAATATTTTTTGTATTATCAAATCGATGTTTATGCCCACATTCCCGGAAAAAATGCTACATTTATCAATTTTATAGATCTAGACAGAAAAAGAGACAAATCATTCAAAACACTGAAAGCTAAAGTAACAAGAAAAACAAAACTCTAACAACAATTCTAATAAAAATAAACCAGGACTGAAATCTGAATTTCAATTTAAGCTAAATGTTTCTGTACCCGGGCTGCTGTATTTGAATGCTGGGAATGAGTTTGCTCTGCTGGCTCCGATGCTCTCAGGCTCCTATGCAATCATTTTGTCTCCTGGGGCAAGAGGCCAGCAGTCTAGACAAGTCAGATAAGGAAATTAAAAATTCCACTTTCAACAAAAAATATCCATTAATGAAACGCGCAACCAACTTTCCACATTTCCCAGAAAAGGCCTGTGGCTGTCCAAATTGTCTCAAATAAAGAATAGTTTATTCATTATCAACATGGAAAGTGTGTCGTACAAAAAACTCTTTCTTGTGACGCAGGAAACCCTGACATCACAGAGCAGAGGTGGTCTCCCCATTTGTTGCCAAGTCAAATAAATACTTGCGCCACTGACATGGTCAGTAGTGACTCATCACACACACACCAACACACATACGCACACATCATCATCTCTTTGGAGTCCGTCAGTTAAGCAGACTAAATCCTCATATTACATATATATTTTTTTAGAGATATTTTGATCTCATTGACAATAATTGTAAAATTGACAGTCTAACTAACAATATGAAAATGAGGTAGTTAAGTTAAGGTAAAACATAAATGGCAATGGTTTATTGAATGCAAATTATATATTACTATTCAATAATTTAGTTTTAGTTTTTAATTGTTTGTCTTTACCAGGTTATGGTCTGGTTATGGTTATGGTTTACTGTTCCTTTTGTGTTTGTGTACACAGCAAAATTGGCAAAAGTGTTGAAGTGCAGAGTTGAAATCACACTGCAAAAAGTTGATTCAACTGTTACAGAGTCAATCGTACGAAAGAGCTGGAGTCATTATCCAGTGTCAAGATCAGATTCATTTGCGACACTTACACTAACAACCATGTGTTAAAAATGCAATGTAATTCGCTTTGGATAAAAGCGGCGGTAAATGACACGTAATGTATTTAACACTGAGCAGATTTATTTTTAACACTTATTCAGAGTTAACTTGTTAACACTTGAGTGTTGAGTGTTGATTTAACACTGACAATATTGGGACAATATAAACACCAGCTTAGAGTTAAAATTGAATCACACAGTCAATTTAACTCTGAAATTTGCTGTTACCGCAATCACAACAAGGGGTGGATACAAACATCATAATGGAAAACAATAATAAATAGGAAGATAAAAAAAAAGTAATTGTATTTTTTACAGGCTAAAGAAAGATGGCCAAGAAGTCGAGGTAGTACATATAAACATTATATTAATAACAAAGATATAGTTATAAAAAATGTTCAGAAAATAGTACTATTACTATTACTAATACTATTATATATCCATATCCATATATTGGATTCACGAACTTGTAATTTATAAAACCATCCTACATGTTAGGTCAGTGCCAATAATGGATGTTCTCCTTTCTCTAATGACGTGAGACAATCACATACATTTTTGATTGATCCCAGACAAAAACATATAAAAACAATTAGACCATTTTTTTTGTAAAACATAAACTAATTTAACTAAAAGGGGATTTTAATATTCTAATATTTGTCATACGTGTCAGCGTAGAAGAAACGCTGTAAACAAATACACTGCCAGTGAGCCGCTGTCACGGCAGCGGGTTTCGTTCCTTGTGTCTTGTCGCCCTCTATTGACCAAACACGTGAACTGCAGATAGTGACGTGCAGCGTCTGGCCACTAGGAGGCGATGTCATGTACACGGAAGCGAAGAAGAACACCCAGTGGAAACGGGAGGAAGTCAGGAAGCTGCCCGCTTGTGACAGCAGTATCGAAGAAGAAAAAAGAAAACCCTCCAAAAAGCCGGACTCCCGAGAAAAAGCGCTACCGACATGTCGAAGAACACCGTGGCCGCCCGCTTCCGGCGAGTAGACGTGGACGAGTACGACGAGAACAAATTCGTGGACGAGGAGGAAGGAGGCGAAAACCAACTGGGACCCGACGAGGCGGAGGTGGACTCCCTCATCAGACAATATCCTTCAGTCACACGATTAGCTCGCCGTGCTGTTTAGCACGCAGGCTCCTCGGCTTAGGGAACCCGACCCGGCCAACAACGGCTGCGTGAGTGTAACCTTATGTCTGCGTGTGTGTCTGTGTCTCTATCTGCACGGTAACGACCCGATGCGTCGCTGCTGCTTTGGACGGGCGCGCTGTGAGTAGGCCGGTCAATGTCCGGACCTGCCCGGCTGTCACATTCCAGGGAATTCTGCTCCCCAACACGGAACAGGCCTATCTGGTTTTCTATTCGAAGCTGTGTCGATTAGGGGGGTTTATTCTCTACCGCCGGGAGGTCTTTCTGTAAAGTACGAAAGCCAGCAGCTTTGGTTATGGAGGCCTTATAAGGCATGAAAGCGCAGCACTTCCTCATTGATAACGTCACCTCCCACCACATGTCACAGCAAAGGGGAATTAAAGCGTAGTGTAACAGACTTCCATCTGTATGCATGTATAAAATCACATTTTTCTTCGATACAAGTAAGCTCATCAGGATGTCATACTTAGTACAGTGATAGAAAACCTGTCTAGTATTATTTGTTATTCTGCTGTGCTGTGTTGCATCCTTAACCCGAACCCTGCACAGGAAACCTCATGCAGGCTTTACAAGCTGTTTTGAAGAACCCGCCGATCAACACAAAGAACCAGAATGTCAAGGTGGGTTTGGTCCTAATGGAAAGTTGAGCATTTGCCACAGTCTTGTTTTTCTAATGAATCCCTTTGTTAGGGTTTTACGCTGAATAATAGTCCGTCTTGCTAGTGTAACAGGTGTTGTGTAGTCGTGTAAGGCCATTTAAACTTGGCAATAGACAATCCTGAACTACTGTCTGGAAGCAGGCTGGTAATTAACTTCACATTCCACACGGTTCTCCTTTTTTTTTTTTTTTTTCCCCCCTCAGGATCGTGCTGAGGGTTTGGTGCTGAAGGTGCTCAGCGCCTTTAAGAGCAGTGACATTGAGAAAGGGGTGCAGTCCCTCGACAAGAACAGCGTGGACCTGCTGATGAAATACATCTACAAAGGCTTCGAGAAGCCGTCGGAAAACAGCAGCGCGGTCCTGCTGCAGTGGCACGAGAAGGTAAATGTTTGCACCGAAACTGGCTTTGCTGGAGGGAGAAGAAGTCCAACATTTCAGATGACGCTGATGAGCGAGATTGAAGTGAGAACTCCTCCAGTTCCCCCCTGGGGTTGGTTTCTCTCAGATGAAGCATTAGCTGTAAGTTTCAAAATGATGACCGAAGAACGCTGGTCAATATCATCATGTAAGGGGTCTGTAGTTTGAGGCCACGTTGGGAGTTAAAAGACCAGTTGCTACAACTCTGCATACAGGATGAGCTAACGGAGTTCAGTACTGTAAAATAACCAGACCGTATTTTCTGTGCTGTCAGGCTCTGGCGGCTGGAGGCGTAGGCAGCATCGTCAGGGTACTAACCGCGAGGAAGACGGTCTAGACGAGCAGCGGAGGATCCACGACGGGTCCAGAAGACGGTTCATGTAATCATCACAGACGGCATAGGGACTAAAAGGAAAACTCATGTTTGACCCAATGTGATCCCGCTGCGTTCAAATAAAAAAAAAAATCAAATATGGGTCACATTGGGTTTTAAAATGTGTTTTTCTTCTCCCCTCCCCCCCCATTCACAATCACAGCCGACAGAATCATGTTCCACACAGGGTTGTGATATAAATTACATTGCCCCTCACATTGATAGTTGCATAGTAACACACGTTTTTCAGGAGTGCTAATCCTTAAATTAATGAGAGAATTCTCTTTCTTTGTCAGGGTTTTAATTCACTCAGGAGTAAGGAGACAACCTTTATGACGCTTAAAGATTTATCCTCCCTTGACTTCCACACAAACACACACGCAGGGTTCCAGGTTTGATTCTCTCAGGAAAAAACCTCTCAGTATTTGTTCCTATCTTGTGTTGTCTCATCAGTGGAGCCTTCCTGATTGAATAAAAGCCTGATTCAGTCAGTAAATCCTCTCATTGCTTCTCCTTACAACACAACAACATAAGGATCTTCAAAAGCACAGTCACAGATGGAGGGCGGCGGGTTTTCTCACTTATCCTGTAGAGTGGGATGATGGTGGTTGGTGTCATCCATCTAACGCTGCCCCAGTTAAGGATTATCACCCTGATGCATCTCCACCACAACTCTTAATCCCATTTTACTCACATCGGTCCTATGAGTCTCTCATGGACCCTCCACCCCTGTGCGTGGCATCGCGTGGCTTCGCTTCTTTGCTTTCCGGAACGACCTGTCGCCACGAGCAACCTTTCTCCGATTTATTTGGGTATTTCACGTAACATTTTTTTCATTTAGTTCATATTTTGTCTCTTGTATGCAATGAAACCAATATATAGTTTGCGTGAGCCCACTATTGAAAATTTTGAGTGTTCTGTCAACATTTCATACTTGTCTTTTGTTGTGTCTCTCCTGGGAAAAAAAAGTTGTTTTTTCTATTGAATCTGGGTTTAAACTAACACTTGTTCACTCAAACAGACCCTCACACATGGCGTTGTCTGGTAATAGGAAGTTGTATTCTTTTTCAATTTTATAACATGAGGGAAAACTGGAAATGTAAAGTTGTATCTTGCGTCTGTTGCCAAAAGACTTACTGTGCTTTCATGCTTCCATTGAGGTTTTTGTTTCTTGTGTATTGGAGAATGCACAGTGGTGGAGTGAAGGCTCTAAACCGTATCAATAGACATACAAGCAAATTGTGTTGAGGTTTCTAAAGAAGTTGCTATTTTGAATATATTCTGTAACCACGGCGATGACACAGGAGTTCAGTTTCAGCATGTTTTTCTTTTTCTTGCTCATTTCCAATCATACACAGAGAGGATGGATGTTGCTTTCCTTTAAAACGCATCACAGCTTATTTACTCACAGTTAATATAAGGATGTGGGTTGTCATGTTTGAATACTGTCATCAGTAATGATTGAACCGGACGTTAGATTCCTTTTCTAATCATGTTTTACATGAAAAAGCCTCGTTCCTTCTTCATGTGTGTCCAGTCGGAGACGCTCCTCTAGATGAGATGTAACTGATGTACAAACTGCCTTACTCAATATTCCTTTTTTATGTTTGTGCTTTTTTGACAAAACTAATAAAGATTTGACTGCTGATCATAACTGCCATGAATTATTTTTTTTAAAGTGTATTGAACACAAAGACGATCAGGACGAAATTACTAAATTATAATTGGTCACGATGAACAACCAGATGATTTTGTAAAATGTTAATTCAGAACAGGGCAGTTTTAGCCCATTTCATTGAAAACTTTGACGAGACGTTCATTCATCGGAAATGAAAACATCAAGATGTTAATATCTTTCTTTGTAAATTACTCTCCATAAAGCTTCATATATGGAATTGTACATCATTCTCAATATTCTTTTTCCGATTTTGTTGTTTACCTGCTTTTTGTTTCCATCTCAGCTAATATTAGCTTAATTTCTTCCATATTTCATTCACTATAAATATAAAACACGGTTTTAGCCGTAATAAAGGTTGAGGTATCAGAAGGTCAAATAAATTAATTGGACTCTTAAAGTTACAAGTTTAACAGTTTTGAAAAAAAAAATGTGTGTATGAACAAACATGAAAACGGAAGACACAAAGTAAATCCTCGTCTTTGCTGCTCTATTCCAGAATTAAATGTGATAAGCTGTGTGATAACTGGAGAGTTACAGTGTAAGTAGTTTGATCAATTCTATCTTTTTTTTTTACCACAGGAAATGGTTAATAAGGATTGGGGCTGTTACATGAATCAGTGCCAGAGACATAGATTGTACTTTATTTCAGTGAATATTCATTTATTTCATTTTTATTACAAAAAGTGATACAATACGTACAATATGGCAATACATTATGAGAAAAAACATATGTACACGTCATAAAAATAAAATACATCTCGGCATCAACTATTGTATATTACTATTGATGCTGTCGGTAATAATTGAATAGGGTTTTTTTTTCATGCCGCACGTGTTTGTTTATTAGGTCGCTACTTGAAGATGCACAATGTGACTTCTGTTGCTAAAATGAGCACCGCATTGGAGCCCTCACAGCTACACTTTATAGTGACTGAGGACACAGAGAGTAAACACAAGGGGAACTGCTCATTTCCTCCTTCAAGCGCTTCCCAATAAGTTAACAATAGATGTAAATAAGAGGCTAACGAAGATTTCTTGAGTAGGGGTGAAGCCTGCTCTGGAGCCTGCGGTGGACACTTTGGTTTCGACAAGCAAAATCTTCTTGTTCTTATAAATAAATCTGAAGGGTCAGAGGAATATGACAAAACACCGAGCGTTTCACTGAACAGGTCCCGTGAAGTTGACGTGAGAAATCCGGGGATTAGAGCCAGTCGACCGCGATCGGCCTGCACTGATTCCACTTTAAATCTACTTCCTTTCGCCTTCAGGGCCGTAAGCACTCACTGGCCTCTCGCAATGAACACCAAGTCCATTCAGTTTGTTACCAACGTGCCAGCTTTTTCCAAAAAAAAGCACATCCGCTCACTTGTTCAGGATGCAATTCATCGCCGCCCCCTCGTGTGATGTCACGTGAAGTGGTCTCAGTAGGGGTAGGCGGAGACCGCGATGTAGACGATAAAGGTCGTCTGGTACTCAATGCCTCCGGCCTCGCTGTATGAGAGGGCACGGACCTTCATGCGGTACGTGTGGGGCTCTCGCAGCGCCCGGGTTGTGAAGAGCACGCCCTTCAGGTTCTCGTCCCGCAGGGCGAACGGTAACGTGACGTCCTCGTCCACCGCCAGGAAGGTGGTCCTGGGGTGCATCACTCCGTCCTGCGTGTAGGCCACCAGCCTGATGAGGTCCTGGTTGGCCGCGATGCCAAAGGGGAGTGACAGCAGCTTGTACTCCAGGGCGTAAGGGCTGAGGGCACACTCAAGGTCGTTCGCGGGGCAATTCTTTAGGCAAAACCTGGGTGCAACACAGATGGCACATGATGAAAACAGATTACTTCAGGAGTTACCTCTTCAACCGGTGAACCAAATAGAACATCTTTGATGCCCAGAATGACAAGGATTTCGGAGTGCCTCTAAATGAATTGGACCTGGGTATCTTGAGTCTACTTTTAATATGTTTTCAGGCGAGAAAGTAACCATTTAGATTCTCAACAAGTGGTCAGTTTATGCCGTTGTTTGTTCCTCTAGCGTTTTTGGACTATGGATCTGACAGTGGCCCTCGGCCCATGCCGTCCAGGTATTGATAGTTTTAATTATTATTAATTAATATATAGTTTGCGATACGTCGTTGGTAAAATTCAGGCATTGGATGTATCCTCCTCTCTTGCACGCGGACGCTACGTGGCCACTCTTCTTCATTAACTCAGAACGGTCATTCAGAGGCAATCTGCAGTCCCGCCGCTAGCTGTCACTCTTTCTTTAATGATTCTATTTGTATGAGCTAATTGATTGTATTTCTGTGAAGGTTTACCCTGTGGTTGGATCCCTCTTGTAGTTCGGTGGACAGGGCGTATCAATGCATTCGTAACTTCCTCTCATGTTAAAGCACATCTGGTTCACTCCACACTGGATGTTCTGCTCCAGACACTCGTCTACATCTGTTAATACAGCAATCAGCTTATTTTCATTGCAGCTTTCATAACGTTGAATAATGGCGCGGAAAGGAGACCGGGAGTAGCTTCGAGGTTCTCACCCTGACAGGTCTTGCCGTTGGTCATGAGGCGGTAACCAGCAGGACAAAGACACCTGTAGCTTCCTGGTGTGTTCATACACTCATGCTGACAGGTGTCCCTCACCTCGCACTCATTGACGTCTGTAGGAGTTAGACGCGCAAGCAAAAACACACAAACAGCCACGAAAAGGATGAGAGAGAAAATCTTGACAGAGGTTACACATTAAGCAGCTCCTCTACTAAATCCTCTCCCTCGTCTCAACCCTGTCTGTCCTACATTGTTACCTAAGCAGGAGCCACCCCTGGACTCAAACCCCTGCTGGCAAGCGAGGACGCCCTGCGGTGCGGGAGATGCTCTGTGTCTCCGGCTCTTGTTGTGCCTCCTTGAGGCGTCTGTGTAGCTGTGGTAGCTCTGGGAGGCCAAGTTGTGGTACCGTCGCTGGTATGAGCTGCGCTCAGGAGAGGATTCGGATGTTCGGTAGCCAAATGAGTAACTTTCATAGCTGGGCAGACGCTCCAGGCCAGCGCAGGATTTGCCGTCCCCCAGCAGGTGGCGTCCCGGCGGGCACGTGCACTTGAAGCTGCCTGGCGTGTTGATGCACTGGTGGGCACAGGGCTGTTGAAGCCGCTCACACTCATTTATGTCTGCCCTCAGCGTAAAGAAAGGCCAGCAGCAGGGAAAGACAGGGTGGTAGAAAGGACGGAGGGAAAGGTGCAAAATGGGTACAGAACAAGCAGGAAATGTGGATATTTAGGATGAAAGAACAAACGAGGTGGTGTGGGCCATGAAGAGAGAGGAGGGAGATGACAATTAGGGGGAGAAAGGGTATATGTCAATTACCCCTCTGTACAACAATACATGTCCATGTCCCTAAGACAGAAATGTATTGAGGCAATAAAAACATTTGCCTAATTTGAATGAGAGACTTCTCACGTCAAATAAAAGTACTGCCTTGAATATGATGAATTCAAATTTTAAATTTTATCTCAAGAAATCATAGCAATTATAATTCACATTTGATATTAGGTACAAAATCCAATTCATGCAAGCTGAATATTTCACAAAGACAGACATCAGTGTACAATGTTAATGATGTCACAGGAGGAACAGTAAATGTATGCCAATTACAAAGCAACTCCAGGAAATAGCCAGATTCAAACGTAAAGGTAAAAGTCAGGAATGGAAGAGAGTGAAACAAAGTGAGTGACAGATGTAGCTGTGAGGTTATGGTACTGTTTTTTTATGGTTCTGTTGCAGAAGGACACATTTATTTTGAGTTCCCTTCTTCTGCAGTCCTGACTGACCCTTTCGCCTGCTCCTATTTGACAGTGCAGGAAGGACGTAGCATCAAAGTAGAGCTTTAGAGGAGCGGGTACCATGCACTTAAGCTTTGCACCGTCTTTAAAGTCATCAGTCATCAGTCATCAGTTAGTCATCAGTTTCAACCAGAGCCTTTTAGAGATGTGAGCCAGCACTGGCAGAATATCATGAGCTTATCGCAAATAGCAGTGGACCTTTAACAGGAGTCATTCACTGACAGAAACAGAAGTGTGCTGGTAGATGCAGAAAAGCTGATAGGCTGAAAGGCTTTACACAGTTATTGCTTAACATCCTGTTTGCCCTGGAAAATGTACTAAGCCTGCCTGAATACTGAGTACTGCCTGAGTACTGAAAATGAGGAATTCAATATTGGATTTATGTATAACAATTTATACCGACATAACTGGATGCACGTACCTATACAGGGCCGCCCCACTCCCTGAGATCTGTGGCCA